GAGAGAGAGAGAGAGAGAGAGAGAGAGAGAGAGAGAGAGAGAGAGAGAGAGAGAGAGAGAGAGAGGCAGGCAGGCATTTGTGGATAGAGATGGATATTTAGGGGGCATAGGGGCCTCTGACGCCAGACAACCTGACATCCGATGTGCACTGTCTCCGAGTCATTTGGTTCATCATACAGATAAAGTCAGGCAAAAAAAGTTTCTATTACTTGCTGTGTGCTGTATCTACAGATTCTACACCATGCTTACAGGGGGCCCTTTGCCCCTCTTCTTTCCTGAGCAGATTGTTCGCACGAAATACGAAATCCACGTCAGCCACATTTAAGCACGTGCTGGCGAGCCTCTGCCGCATTGATTTTGATGAAATCTGCGATTTGGGTAATCAACGACAAATGGTCTTTCTTTTGACCATTGAAAAATTCTCGTTCCCTAAAAAAAAAAAAAAAAAAAAAAAAATCTCGTACCATATTGATTAAAACAATAGCATTTCTATCGAATTGTGATTGCGGACGAACAGCTCCTCCAAAATCGGTACCCTGCGGTGAGAAGCAACCAAAGGGCGCCTACGATGGAAATTCGAGTAGAGTAACACTGCCGCACCAGACAGAAGACTCGACCCCGGGCTTAAACCCACCGCTGCATACGCCGAGGGCAACTTAAGAATACCGCAGGGTCCCTATGAAGATTTTGCAAGCAGGGAAGAAACTGGTCGTCCCCATGCCAAGGGCCAACCAAATGGACTGCGAGTTTTCCTGCTGGTCAATTACACACACGTGTGAACACATGCACGGATGCAGTAGGCACAGACACGAGAAAGGAAGAAAAGACGAAGTGAAAATGTTTGCCCCGCCACTGCCACTTGGCAGGTAGAAGAAAGGGAAGCGTCAAAATGTTCCCTCGGTGTTGGGAGGGGCCCACCTCTCAAGCCTCCTCATGCTGTGGGAGGTGGGACGAGTCCTTGCGGTTCGATTCGTGCATTCTCGCATTAGGATTTTTTCTCCGAGTCTCTGGACCCGATTGCAGTGTAGATTCATCCAGGTCTGGCTGTACTCGCAGTCAGATGCATTTTGGACACTGTATGTGAGTACACCCTGCAAGATCTGTTCCAGTACCGTCTTCTCCCGAACATAATGCACCCTGAAAACGAATGTATACAAGCTATATTTCCGGCCAGATACAGCCAAAATGAGGGTGCGTTGTGTTCGGGGGAAGACGGTAGTTTCCTTCTGGATTCCGTCTAGGATTCCGTCTGGATTCCAGTGCACGCGTCCCTATCTCAACAGTTCATGGGTGTATCAACTGACAGCTTACTCCCTCTAGCGCTTTCCAAAATGCATCTGACTGCAATTGTGGCCAGATCCCTCAAATTTGAACTTGATCCAGATATGCATCTGACTGCAATTGCTACCAGATCCCCTCGAATTTGAACGTGATCCAGAGCTTTGTAGAAAGCGTCCTATGCTGAGTAGTCCTCAGCTAGGCCCATTGGCAAGGTGTTAAGGGGTATTTATGAAATTCCTTGTGTGAGTCCACGGTCAGCCATGAAAACCGCTGCCTCCTCTTCTGGCAGCATATGCCGAGCAGTTCACTTTCATCCGCTGGTAGCATGTGCCCAGCGGTTCAGTTTCACAGACGGAGGGGAAGGGACTGGAAGAGGCACTAGTACCACCGTCGGTTTTCCGCTCCGAGGGACCCGTTGCTTTCAGGCTCCGCAAAGTCGAATTCCAGTTTGTGCTGAAGCCGCAAGTACCTTTCCCAGCTGTGGGCTGCGGGCCCCGCGTGCCCGCCGGAGGCCGACTGCAGCTTCCGTGTTAACTGGTGCGTCTTGGCGTTTTGGCTGGGAAAAGTTTGTTTGTTTGTTTGTTTGTTTGTTTGTTTTTTTTTTTTTTTTTTTTGGTTCAAGAAAGTCTAGGAGAAGTCATGAGTAACTACTAAGTAAGTCAGTAACCAATTCAACAATCCTTTTTTAAAAATATCAAAAGACCTCCCAACCACTAAATAGATAGGTGAAAAGTTGAAAACCCATTCAATCCCACGTAAGACTACCACCAGGATAACTGTTTTCAGGACAAGCAGGAGCTCTACCAGGCCTCATGC